ATCATATAAACTATTATGAAATATATCCTACATCATATAAACTATTGGGAAACATATCCTACATCATATAAACTATTGTAAAACATATCCTACATCATATAAACTATTGTGAAATGTATCCTACATTATATAAACTATTGTAAAACATATCCTACATCATATAAACTATTGTGAAATATATCCTACATCATATAAACTATTGTAAAACATATCCTACATCATATAAACTATTGTGAAATATATCATACATCATATAAACTATTGTAAAACATATCCTACATCATATAAACTTTTGTGAAATATATCCTACATCATATACACTATTGTGAAATATATCCTATATCATATAAACTATTGTAAAACACATCCTATTTTATATGAAATATTGTAAAACACATCCTACATTATATGAAATATTGTAAAATACATCCTACATTATATGAAATATTGTAAAACACATCCTACATTATATGAAATATTGTAAAACACATCCTACATTATATGAAATATTGTAAAACACGTCCTACATTATATGAAATATTGTAAAACACATCCTACATTATATGAAATATTGTAAAACACGTCCTACATTATATGAAATATTGTAAAACACATCCTACATTATATAAACTATTGTAAAACACATCCTACATTATATGAAATATTGTAAAACACATCCTACATTATATAAACTATTGTAAAACATATCCTACATTATATGAAATATTGTAAAACACGTCCTACATTATATAAACTATTGTAAAACATATCCTACATTATATGAAATATTGTAAAACACATCCTACATTATATAAACTATTGTAAAACATATCCTACATTATATGAAATATTGTAAAACACATCCTACATTATATAAACTATTGTAAAACATATCCTACATTATATGAAATATTGTAAAACACATCCTACATTATATAAACTATTGTAAAACATATCCTACATTATATGAAATATTGTAAAACACATCCTACATTATATAAACTATTGTAAAACACGTCCTACATTATATAAAATATTCTATTAAACCCCCGAATACTCTATATTTGAATCAACTTTTTCTAAAACCATTTTTTAATGTATTGGATGATGGCATTAACGTTTGCGCCCTATCGTCTCGCCACCCCAATGTCAAGGAAGCTGACGTTGGACGGGGCGCCGGGGGTCAGACCCATTAAATCTAGAGAGATGGCGTGCCCCCCTATCGCCTAACGGCAGATACTCCCGGTGCGACTGTTCAGCACTGCATTCCTGATCGATGTGAGAGATGAGGAAAAGCCACACCTTATGTGATCTCCACATCCTCATCCTGTACTGTCCACATCCTCATCCGGTACTCTCCACATCCTCATCCGGTACTTTCCACATCCTCATCCGGTACTCTCCACATCCTCATCCGGTACTCTCCGCATCCTCATCCGGTACTCTTCACATCCTCATCTGGTACTCTCCACACCCTCATCCGGTACTGTCCACATCCTCATGCGGCACTCTTCACATTCTCATACGGCACTCTTTACATCCTCATCCAGTTAGCTTTTGGTCCATCTGAAAAAAAAAATGACCTACAAATGATTTTAATGAATATTTTATAGTCGTTTCGTGTCCAACACCTGTCTTCGTTGGCGCCGAAGTAACTCGTACTCCGAGAATAAATCTTTTCTGGTCATCACTGCTGGCAATGACTTGTATCTTACACTCAACGGTTGTAACCGAAGTGCGCACGACTCAACAAACGGAGTGCCGGGTTTTTATCTTTTTAAATGTGGAATGCACCAATGTTCATTGAAGCGCGCTTGGTTCCCCGCCTCGTTCCCGGTTCCCTTAACGACGTGCTCATCTCCTTTTGATGCCCGCGACTGGCTGCTCCTTGCGTCTGCCCCCCCTTGCGCCTGCTCTCTGCATTAAGTTTCAGGGAGTACTCCTTCTACCTTGAGTTTTAATTATTTGCCGCAGCCGTCAGTCCGTGAGGTAAGGAGGGCAACGCTGAGGCCTTTTTGTAAAGACAAGAAAAGATGTAGAGGAGAGGTGAATGGCAATATGAGTATATGACGTCGATGGCTGGATAGAAGTAGGTGAAGACATACCGGTGTTCAATCATCGCTTTGGGGGTCTTGTGGGGCGAACGTCGTGTGGGTGAAGGTCGTGTGGGGGGTGAAGGTCGTGTGGGGGGGAGGTTCGTGTGGGGGGGGAAGGTCGTGTGGATCAAGGTTATGTGGGTGGAGCTCGTGTGCGTGAAGATCGTGAGGGTGATGGTTGTGTGGATGAAGGTCGTGTGAATGAAGGTCTTTTTTGAGTGAAGGGTACTCTCCACACTTTCCACATCCTCATACGGTTAGGTTTTGGTCCACCTGCAAAAAATGACCGACAAATGATTTTCATGAATATTTGATGGTCTTTTCGTGTCCAACACCTGTCTGAAGGTCGTGTGAATGAATGTCGTTTTAGTGAAGGGTTTGTGTGTGTGTGTGAAGGTTATGTGGGTGAAGGTCGTGTGGGTGAATGTCGTGTGGGTTAAGGCCGTGTGGTGAAGGTCGTGTTGGTGACAATCGTGTGGATGGGATGGATAGAGATATTCCAGAAAATTTCAAAGCCTAACATTTTACTATAGCATTGCAAATTATTATTCCTCCTCTGCTGCTCTACAAAGAATGTCCATAATGAAGGATGAAGTAATAGCACATGACTATATGATGCAATAACTGATAATGTTTAAAATAGCCTTAATGATAATGTCAGGACACGTTTGACAGAATTATGCAATGGTTTTCTAAAGGTACTGTTATATTTTGTAATTTTTATTGATCGGTTCGCCACTGAAAACCATAATGACATCCTCTTAAACAATCCAGCCAACGCCTTGTTTCAATAAACTTTCAAATCAAGTCTTTGTTTGTGAAAGTAAACTGAAATGTCAAAGACTAGACAAAGACTTGAAGAACACAAGACAAAGACTAGGCGAACACTAGACGAATATTAAACAAATACTAGACAAAGACTAGACGAATACTAGACAAAGACTAGACGAATGCTAAACGAAAACTAGACGAATACTAGACGAATACTAGACAAAAGCTAGACGAATACTAGGTAAAGGCTAGATGAATACTAGACAAAGGCTAGACGAATACTAGACAAAGATTAGACGAATACTAGAAAAAGGCTAGACAAAGACAAGACGAATACTAGACAAAGACAAGACGAATACTGGACAAAGACTTGACATAACAATCAACCACCCCCCACCCCAACCCAAAAAAACAAAACAACAACAACACACTTTTCATGAAAGAATTTCTAAAAACCATTCCAAATGTTAAATGTTTCAAATAGACCAGGCCATTGACTGAGAAGATGGCTTTAACACATTTCATAATAATTCATAATAAAACAAGATAGTTTGTATAGGACTCTTCCACCCAAGAGTCCATTGTACCGGATGTGTCCCGACACGCCCTGGATTGTACAGGATGGGTCACGGTACGCCCTGGATTGTACAGGATGTGTCACGGTACGCCCAATGGTACCGGATGTGTCACGGTACGTCCTGGATTGTACCGGATGTGTCACGATACGCCCTGGATTGTACCAGATGTGTCACGGTACGACCTGGATTGTACCGTATGTGTCCTACCGTATGTACGCCCAATGGTACCGGATGTGTCACGCTACGCACCTGGATTGTACCGGTTGTGTCACGGTACGCCCTGGATTGTACAGGATGTGTCAAGGTACGCCCAATGGTACCGGATGTGTCACGCTACGCACCTGGATTGTACCGGTTGTGTCATGGTACGCCCTGAATTGTACAGGATGTGTCACGGTGCGCCCAATGGTACCGGATGTGTCACGGTGCACCCTGGTTATACTAGTTAACATTGACCTTAAAAACTGCCAAATGTAGTGTTGCCGTCTGAACAAACACCTGGTTTTGTAATTAGGTTGGAAAGTTACACGTGCCACTTGACATACATCGTTGCATCGTATCGTATGGGGTCTCAACCTATATGAGGTGATATATGGATTATGTCTCAGTCTTAGGGATAAATCAACAGCTGATACTCAACCAAGGTTATCCAGGCAGTTGAGTCGTAGTAGATGTCCTAAGAGATCAACAGCGTGTTTAGCCCCTCGAGCTCGAGATTTCTGGTACTACGTTGCGAAACGGCTTTGACAAATTGAAACCGTTTTACTCCAATTTAAATGTGTAAACTGTAACAGCTTCTTCACCGGCTTAAGGTGTCAGGTGTACGGCTGTGGCTGTTCAAAGTGTCAGACATCGAGTTAGAGCTGCTCCAATGGAGAGGTGAATGATGGGTTTGCAGTTTTTTTTTTGCAATTCTATTTTATTTGATGCAGCCACTTCGTTTTAGAGATTCCCACTTCCTGTTATAACAACAGAGAAGTACAATAGTTACAGGCTGAAGCTTTCCTGTTATAAAAAATGAGAAGTGCAATAGTTACAGGCTTAAGCTTGGGCATGTTTTAACAACAGAGAAGTGCAATAGTTAGTGGCTTAAGGTTGACCATGTTGTCTACTTACAACAAAGCCATAATATCCGCTATTGCGTTGACTGTGTACTCGTTACAGAAACAGTTGACAGTTCTCATTGTTCAACTTGTAGTTGCAGAAATAGATGACAGTTCTTATTGTTCAACGTGTAGTGACATAAATAGTTGACAATTCATATTGTTCAACCTGTAGTGACAGAAGTAGTTGGCAGTTCTAATTGTTCAACTTGTATTTTTGTGTGGAACATTACTGGCCTTAATTCGAATAGTAACAATGTTCATAAAGAGCGAGACTCCATAAAGCCAGGTTTTGGTGTTGTTCTGTAAAGCTTTGAAGCCTTCAGATGGAGAACTTTCTTTCCTTGCCCTAGTTTTTTTTTTTTTTAACGTTACTTTTTTGAACACATCACAATAGCATGAAAGAGATTTCACGTCTCTGCTATACAACGAACACCGTGGCATCATTGCGTCAATGTCTCTTCACACAACAGATTGTTTGGAGGCGTGCATCAGACCCGAACCCTCTGACCATCGGAATGGACACCTACATCAGTGACTCCAGGTTCAAGGTCGTTCACAACAAACACTCGCTGGAGTGGAACCTGCACATCACGGACTCCCGTCCCGAAGACAGCGGCGTGTATGAATGCCAGGTGTCGGCCAAACGACGGCACATCAGGCAGAACATCATGTTGACTGTGGAAGGTACGCCTATGTTGTTGTAATCAAAGTTATAGCATGTATGAATGACTAATTAGTTTTTTTATAAAGGGGTCATAATTTGGGCGCGATTTCTACAATTGAAAAGTGAATTAGTGCGCAAAAATAGTTTCGTAGAGACCTGCTAAGCATTGTGCGAAATCAAACATGCCAATTACAATTTAACAATCTAATAAACCTAATGCAAAAATATTCACTATTACGAAAGGAAAAAAACATCTCAGTCAATTAAATGTGTATAGCATACCGCATAATAATAGTACCCAACATCTGACGAGAGCGTATATGGCCAACCGTCATTTATCCGAACTGTTAAAAAACGGGGAAAGTTGTAACACGGAGTTGAAGTGAAAATAATTTCGTTTCTCGTTTGTCCAGCAAGGAAACAAAACAGAAATATATTTTTTTTTCAATAGTTTAAAAACTGTCAGGAGGAAACAGGACAAAGTATTGATAACACGGGTTTCTGTTTTTTCCTTAACGTCAAACAACTGAGGGCGTACTGCGCTGTGGACTTCTTGTTCACGCAACGTTTTAACGAGTCCTAGTTTTTAAATATTTGCCTCCAAGTGGCCCACCGAGACATGGCGTGCTTTGTTGGATTGCAGATGATGACTTGCTTCTAGAATTCTAGTTGAGATGTCTTCTTGACCTCACAGAGATGCTAATAAATGGATTATTTGTTTACAATTACATTTACTTTTTAAAATTGTTAACTAGATCATTATGATGTACAATAAATTGCGACAAACAATAGATTACAACTGGTGTTTTATTTAAAACATTATGAACGATGTAAAAATGTTGAAGTTTGCAAAATTCAGGACTTTTTTTTTTAATACTAAATTTCTTTTGTTTCACATCTTTTATTCATGATTCTATTTTTTTTTAAAAAGCACATTTCTTCTATCGTTTATTTTCACTTTATTTCAGCTGCACCACGGAGAGGTAGCTATAACTTCATTTCATTTGATCACTGTCAACATACAACTTTACAACTTTGATTTCTTTTGTACATCTTTGATTTCTAAGACAGAATTTAAAAATAGTTAAGGAATTTTTTAATTTTTTTTTAACCACATTTGTGTCCCTTTATTTTTTAAAGATTATTCCCATTGGTAGAATAAAATGTACTCTCTAAATAAAGGCATGGCTTCATTTCAGATTTAGTGAGTAGACTTATGATCACTTGCACAATGTAACCTACTTTTCAAATCATTTTAAAATAACAATTATTCGAACATAGAAGAAGCTAGCAATTTTAAAATGATTGTTTTCATTTACCTTAACTATTTCATTGCGATGCCCTCTTGTAATTGGTTGGGTAATAATGTCCGACTCGAGCAGTGATTCTAAAATTTTAAATTAATTGTTGGTCCCTTTACAAAGGTTTTTGAAGAGTCTTGACTCAATGTCTTACGATTGTAGTAACAGTGAATTTAAGTTTAAAGTTCTATTAAAATGGTTAAGTTAGCATTTCAACATATCAAGAGAGGTTGTTGTTTTCATCTCAAAAAAACATTTCCTTTTTTAGCCAAATGTAGACGAAATAAAACATATCATTTAATACAGGTTGTTCTTTTTTTTGTTATGGCACAATAGCCTAGTGGGATTTAGTTGATTGATTGTAATTGTCAACCCTCTTTTCTTAAAACCCAAAATGAAAGCATATTTGCTTTGAAATTTCTTGGTATTTAATATAAATAATATGTTTAGAATTATGCAAAAAGCTGCGAAGATGGCTCTGGGAATAAACGCTCCACAGTGTATTAATCAGTATAGGAAATATAGAAAACGACACATCATGAATTCATGCAGTTGAGATAGTCTTAGCGTACATTTTCGACGCTGCATGCCTTGGCTAAAGTTATCATATGAATATCTGCCGTACCAAAAATGTGTGATGCAATGGTCAAATTATTTTTTCAAACTTTCTTCTTCTTCTTCTTTTTTTTTTTTTAGAGACCCCAGAACTACGAACAACAAAACCAGGTAATCGTGTCTTCTACGTATTTAGACTTGATGACAAAGTTGTCGTAGTGTTAATGTGTGGTGCAGTGGGTGGCGCTAGTGCATATGTCTGTGTTTGTGGTGGGTAAAAAGTGTGTGTGTGTGTGGGGGGGGGGGGGTTCGTGGGCAATATTAAAAAAAAAACTAAATACATTAGCTACTTTAAGAAAATATCTTTATTATTTTTATCAATTAGGGCAATAGAAAAATAAATTTTTTGGGGGAAAAGGTGGTGTGTGTGTGTGGGGGGGGGGGGTTCGTGTGCAATATTAAAAAAAACACTAAATACATTAGCTACTTTAAGAAAATATCTTTATTATTATTATCAATGAGGGCAATAGAAAAATAAATTGTTTCTTAAAATATAATTGAATAAATAACCTTTTAAATGTTGTTTTTTCTATGTATATATACATATTAGAAAGGATATTTTATGAAGCACGCCTCTGTGAGTACAAAAAGGTCATGAAGACTTTTGTGTCCACGTCCTGTAATTTATTAGTGTTTATTATAAGGGCGTTCTCCAATTGAATGATGCACACAGTCAGCTGTAATGATCATGGAGAGATGGCCAACAAACAGTTGTAGCAATCAGTCATTGTTATCACAGTTGGTGCACTGTCCTGGCGTCATAAGTTGGTGCCCTGTCCTGGCGTCATAAGTTGGTGCACTGTCCTGGCGTCATAAGTTGGTGCACTGTCCTAGCATCATAAGTTGGTGCCTGTCCTGGCGTCATAAGTTGGTGCACTGTCCTGGCGTCATAAGTTGGTGCACTGTCCTGGCGTCATCAGTTGGTGCACTGTCCTGGCGTCATAAATTTATGCACTTTACTGGCGTAATAAGTTGGTGCACTGTCCCGTATTATAAGATGACGCATGTTCCCGGCGTCATAGATTGATGCACGGTCCCAGCGTCACAAATTGTTATAAGTTAGTATACCACTAATAAATGTCCCATAAAACAATTTTACAGCTCCCAAAAACACAAAAATCAATCCAAGTGCTGCCCCTTTTTGGACTTTTGAGAAGAGTACGGACATTTAAAATCGATTAATGCTAACTTATTTGACTTTGCCATTCCCCAGAAATCAGCATCACCGGTACTTTGTTCGTGGAGAAAGGTGAAACTCTGAGGCTCGTCTGCAACGCCACCGGAAGTGAATACCCACCCGACGCCATTGATTGGTTCAAGGACGGGGACAAGATTAAGAACGAGTGGGTCTCGAGCGTGGGTCACAGTGACCTGAAGTATTTAGCCTTGTTTTGTGACGTTTGGGGTCGAGGGTCAACGAACGCGCTAACCCAAAGCCCATCATGCGTCATTCATTAGTTTATTAATAGCTGTACCGTGTATTGTCTTCTGTCTGGCAAAAACCGATCTTCTTAGGAAAGTTGTAATTACGCCCTTTCCCTATCTTCTTTCTAAAGCTAGTTAACCTAATTGCATACATTGAAAACAGTGAATTTAAAGAGACCGTAGTTTTGTGTTCTCTGGCTCCATAACTTCTCAGAACTTGAAGAGGCGTGACCTTGCCTCCTTACACCCTCACTCTAACACGAAAAATTTTCATCTGTCAAATTGAAATCGCGCCATCCCTGTGTCACATAAAAACGGCTCGGTGGAGGCATTGGAACTTTAGTTACGTAAAAGCACATACAAATTAACGTCCACAGCTCTCATGGCAAGTTTCTAAGAAGCATGGGGTTTTGTGGGACTTCCCGTTTCCCTTGGCTACTTTTATTAGTTGGATTAATTTCATTCATGCTAGTACAACAGGACTAACTCGGCTTAGTTATGGCTAGGAACACATTTCACGGCTGGGTATTATTTGATTGGTCTGAACGTGGAGTAGCGTCTGAGAGGTCTCTGAGAATATCTGGACGTCAAGTACGGCTCATATGAGACTGGTCACTTATGACTCTGCTGTTAAGGGATTCTTAAGTAAGGAGTTTGACAGTTTGAAGAATGTCATTTTAATCTGTGAGTTGAACCTAATGTTAAATGTTCCTTCCCCTGCCTTTCCTTGACCTCCTTTTCCTTGTTCCCCCTTTTCCTTCTCCTCCCTTTCCTTGTCCTCCTTTTCCTTTTCCTCTCTTTCCTTGTTCCCCCTTTCCTTTTCCTCTCTTTCCTTGTTCCCCCTTTCCTTTTCCTCTCTTTCCTTGTCCTTCTTTTCCTTGTCCTCCTTTTCCTTGTCCCCCCTTTCCTTCTCCTCTCTTTCCTTGTCCTCCTTCTACTTGTCCCCCCTTTCCTTGCCCTCCTTTTCCTGTCCTCCCTTTCATTGATCTCCTTTTCCTTGTCCTCCATTTCCTTGCCCTCCTTTTCTTTGTCCTCCTTTTCCATCTCCTTCCATTCCTTCTCCATCCTTTCCTTCTCCCCCTTTTCCTAAGTCTAATATGAATAATTAAATGATGATTCATCAGTTACATCTTCGTCGGCTATTTAGCACCTTTCAACAAATAGGATAGACGAGCTCCAACTACCTTGTTTTCTCCCCTTGTCACATTATCCCCATTTATCGTTCTTCGTGCGTACTTAAATCTATCCCTGTCCATTTTGAAGGAAGTGTCACACCAAAAACGATATTCCTTGATGTGAAAGTGCCTTAAACACATAGCTCATATCCTCTAACAACAACCCTTATCCAGCTACATCATATTTTGCCCCATTGTGATGACGTCATATTTTTTTACCAACTATTGTGATGACGTCATATTTTGCCCCGTCATTGTGATGGCTTCCTATATTTCCCCGCCATTGTGATGACGCGTGCTCCGTAACACCGTGTTCTTGTTTGACTTGTTCCAGTGAGAGGATCACGCTGTCCAGCGATGCGTCCATCTCCGACAGGACGATCATCAGCACCTTGTCCATACGGCGAGGACACATGGGGGATGCCGGCACGTACGTCTGCCGGACATCTGGGCACTTGGTCACCAGCGCCAAGGTCAACATACTCAACAGTAAGTTCCGATTGTTACTTCATGGGGATGGTCTTGTGTTGAGTTTCAAGGTCGTGATAAGGTGGTGCATTGAGTTTCAAGGTCGTGATAAGGTGGTGCATTGAGTTTCAAGGTCGAGATAAGGTGGTGCATTGAGTTACAAGGTCATGATAAGGTGGTGCATTGAGTTTCAAGGTCGTGATAAGGTGGTGCATTGAGTTTCGAGGTCGTGATAAGGTGGTGCATTGAGTTACAAGGTCGTGATAAGGTGGTGCATTGAGTTTCAAGGTCGTGATAAGGTGGCGCATTGAGTTACAAGGTCGTGATAAGGTGGTGCATTGAGTTACAAGGTCGTGATAAGGTGGCGCATTGAGTTACAAGGTCGTGATAAGGTGGTGCATTGAGTTTCAAGGTCGTGATAAGGTGGCGCATTGAGTTACAAGGTCGTGATAAGGTGGTGCATTGAGTTACAAGGTCGTGATAAGGTGGTGCATTGAGTTACAAGGTCGTGATAAGGTGATGCATTGAGTTACAAGGGATGTGATTTAATAGTAATAAAATATAAAAAACTCAGCATTTTGCCATCACTTCTCACAACCTCATTGCAACACTTCCTAGATGTCGAGTCACATCTATTCAATGGGAGAAAGTTCGTCTTTCCGTCATTGTTGGCAGATATGTGTCGCTGTCTTTCCTGTGCAGCAGCAAGCCTGTTAAATCTAGTTTAAATTAAGTAAGCAGAGATACAAGGCTGAGGTAGGATTTATATTTTTACGAGATACCTTTGTCAAGAAAAAAAAAAACAACCTAATTTAATCTGGTTGCAGTTTTACAATAAATTGTGTAACAATCACCGGAGTTACCCTCTCCGTCTCAGATCCCCTTAAACTCTGATCATCTTCACATTCAATACATATCGATACATAACTTTTTGAATAGATTTATTTATTGAAATAATCGTCTTCGACTACTTCCCTTTTTTCTTTTTCTTTTTTTTTTTTTTTTTTTTTTTTAAAAAAAAAAAAAAAAAAAAAAAAAAAAAAAAAAAAAAAAAAATTTTTTTTTTTTTTTTTTTTTTTTTTTTTTTTTTTTTTTTTTTGTTAAATTGATTTTTTCCAGATTTTTCGGAACTGGATTAAAGAATTCTAAGAATTCCTTTGATCCAAGTTTCCATTTTTATGTCGGTTGAATTTGCTCATTTCCAATACACAAGAGGTGCTTTCAAAGGTGAGACGGCGATTTGTTTCCTGACATAAGTGCGTCAGACAGGAGATACGTTACGTTTGGAGGAGAACCATTAATTAGCAGACCGGAGAGCAATCCATGGATGAGGCGTGCAGGTAGACGGGCTCCACTGCTCGGTGATGAAAGTCTTATTAACACCTCTGGTTGCTAGGTAAAGTGTCAGGTGAGATCATAACAAGATCATAAACTATTAAACCACCATTGTTCATGTTGTTCTTTTTTTTTTCCATCTCGTTGCAGCTGGCACAAACAATGAAAAGAGAGGTGAGTCAACGATGCTTTGATGGTAGATGGTAGTAGTTTTAACATTCCGTATTGCATCTTTGCTAAATCAAGCTAAAAACCATGCTTCTTGTAAAAATTGTTTTGTATTGTTTGCTGTCATATGTTTGTTGATGTATGCTTTTTGTAAAATGTGTGTTGATATATGTTTGCTGCTGCATTTTGTTGTTGTAAGCTTGTTGTTGTAAGTTGTTGTTGTATGTTTATTGTTGTATATTTGCTGTTATACTATGTTTGTTGATGTATGTTTGTTCATGTATGTTTTCTGCTGTTATACGTTTGTTAATGTATTTTTTATATTGTATGTTTGTTTTTGTATGTTTGTTGATGTATGTTTTTTTTATATGTTTGTTGGTGAATGGTTCTTGATGTCTGTTTCTTGTTGCATATTTGTTGTTGCATGTTAGTTGCTCTATGTTTGCTGCTGTAGGTTTTTTGTGTGGATGTCATCTTGTCATGATCTGACTGGCTGTCATCTTGTCATGATCTGACTGGCTGCCATCTTGTCATGATCTGACTGGCTGCCATCTTGTCATGATCTGACTGGCTGCCATCTTGTCATGATCTGACTGGCTGTCATCTTGTCATGATCTGACTGGCTGCCATCTTTTCATGATCTGACTGGCTGTCATCTTGTCATGGTCTGACTGGCTGTCATCTTGTCGCGGCGAATCGAACCCAAAGTATATAATCAAGTCAACAGCTTGTTCGGCCCGTTGGTGGACAATTAAATGAGGCTCAATATAGTTAAAGTCTTCGACTACCCCGAAAACATTCACTTTCAAAAGTCTCTATTGATGATTTCCGCAGTAAAGTCCAGTCTCAATGTACTTTGAAAAAATATCGTGACTTTCTTTAATTACTTCGGACGTTTGATTGCAAAGATGCAGAGTCTACCATTGTAAAACAATCGTCCTATAAACTTACTGTTTGCTTTCAACATCTAATGTTTTGGCTAATTAATGTCTTACTTTTCTTTTAGTTGTGTAATGTTTGCTTTCAAAATCTAATGTTTTGGCTAATAATGTCTTACTTTTCTTTTAGTTGTGTAATGTTTGCTTTCAAAATCTAATGTTTTGGCTAATTAATGTCTTACTTTTCTTTTAGTTGTGTAATGTTTGCTTTCAAAATATAATGTTTTGGCTAATAATGTCTTACTTTTCTTTTAGTTGTGTAATGTTTGCTTTCAAAATATAATGTTTTGGCTAATAATGTCTTACTTTTCTTTTAGTTGTGTAATGTTTGCTTTCAAAATATAATGTTTTGGCTAATTAATGTCTTACTTTTCTTTTAGTTGTGTAATGTTTGATGATATATTTGTAGTTTTTTGTCTATTAAACGTTATTTTTTTACACGTCTATATAATTATTTTCCTATCAATACAATGTAAATTTAAATTTATGCCGATAATCTTATAATAGCTAATTATGTGATAGAAATGGACGTTTAAAAGGAAATATGTTTCAATAAATTGATTTTTGCCCTTAGAATGTAACAAGTGGACCATATCTTTTGATATATTGTTTTATAACTCAAAAATATTCAAGCTTCAATGATTTGATTTTAACATCATGACAGCTGTGGTCAGAGCTTTTAAATCTTCATTTAAAAAAATGTGTGTGTGCACCGGTAAATACACTGTATAAAAAAGGCTCTTTATTTTTCGTGAAGGCTGCCACCAGCAGTACTTCCTTAATACTTCTGAATATTAGTTCCCTTTATTCCAGAGTCGTCCGACGTGACCATGACGTCAGACCACAAGAACCGGAGCTGTCAGTACAGCGCGTGCTCGCCGCTCCTGACGGCCTTGCTCCTACTGACCACGGCAGTGTGCCTGAGACCGGCTTCCGTCAGCTCCTGATCTGTTCAGCATCAACTGCTACTCTACTGGACACGGGCCGGTCACCTGACTGTTGCAGGACGCTTGGCCTTTCCGAAAATTCGAAGGGAAAAAAAGTTATTGATCGTAAAATGTCTGAAATGCTGGTGGCATTTTTAGTTTCGGAGACAATAAAAGCTAGAAAAGAAAAAAAAATAAGTTTCAACATTTGTTGATAACAAAATGGAATCATGATAGTTTTCTGCACATTTCATACTGTGCGGCAAAAAAAACGTGTTGGTGCCATCTACTGCAGATGAACAGAACTACGGGTATGAAATAGTTCTAAAAATGTGGATGGCGATTAATCAAGTGAAGGCTTACAACTCTTAACATTCGATAATTTGTGTAAAACTGAGAATGTTTATTTAAATTACAGAAACGTCCTTTGATTGACCAGGTTTAGGATGAGAAAGAATTCGATTTCTGATGGTTTGAATCATCCAGGTCTTTTGATCGATCTTATTTGTGCTAATAAGTCTCAACTATGACTGGCTTTTCTACATTTCACTAATAAAATGGAAGGACACTACGCGGCCGTGTTTCTGGAATGGCAAAGAGAAGATGGTTTAACTAAGGGCTTTCAATGATAGAACAATGTCTGGGCAAGATACGATGTCTGGGCAAGACGCAATGTCTGGGCGAGATACGATGTCTGGGCAAGACGCAATGTCTGGGCAAGATACGATGTCTGGGCAAGACGCAATGTCTGGGCAAGATACGATGTGTGGGCAAGACGCAATGACTGGGCGAGATACAATGGCTGAGCAAATTACAGTGTCTTGGCACTATTCATCACCTGGGCAGGATATGCACACTGTTTGCTCGAAGAAATCCCAGATGATTTATCGACATATTTGTTGTGAAAATTATTTGTAGTCGTTGTTTCTACGCCCTTTAGATATTGTAATGAAGAATACATATTTCTTTCCCCATTGGGTATTGCCATGATGATGAAAACGTATGGCTAGGCCCACTGGGTTTTTCGGTGAACTTAGGATGTTGTTTCTAGACTTCAAAATGAGGACACTTTAAAGAGCACGTGAATACGGAAGCGTCGGTAACGGGATGTTGTTTCCGGTATGACGTTATTGACACTGTATGTCTTCATTTCTTGGGGGCCCTCAAGACACAAGATTTAAATATCATCAGTGAATGCACACATTCACAAACATCTTTTGTTGTTGAATGGCACCATCTCGACATACGAGACATGCATACAAGAAATGTAAAACGACATACAACACTGTACATTGCTTGAAGTAAGACGGGTGGACTGAGTGTGATGTCATGTTTCTTGAATGAAAATAATCATGACAACCTCCTTCTCAGACCGCAACTGTTACAATTTATTTATAATTTATTATATTTTTAGCCGTTTTGTGGCTGTGTTTTGTGGCTGTGTTTTGTTTTTCTTTAATTGGTACATCGAGTTAAACAAAATAATAGGATCACCTATTTAACGCCATTGGATTTAGCAGCTTACCACCATGTGATCATTTTTTTTTTTTTTGGAACAATCCCGACCTCAGTTCGTGTCACGTGATTTAAACTGTCACATCTGGTTTTATCAGCCATCTGTTAAGGAGTTAATAATACACACGTGCACAACAGACACAAGAAAGTTCATAAAGACTCTTAGCGATAATGGGACTGGTCACCTACGAAGCTACAACGGTACTGAAGATAGCACCAGATACAAAAGTACTGAAGATAGCACCAGATGCAACGGTACTGAAGATAGCAGAAGATATAAAGATACTGAAGATAGCACGAGATACAACGATGCTGAAGATAGCACAGGATACACAGGTACTGAAGATAGCAGGAGTTACAAAGGTTCTGAAGATAGCACGAGATACAACGGTACTGAAGACAGCAGAAGATTTAAAGGTGCTGGAGATAGCAGGAGATAAAAAGGTACTGACTATAGCACCAGATACAACGGTGCTGAAGATAGCACAATATACAATAAATGATCCAACAACCTTGGTTTAAGCTACTGATAGTGTTATGAAAATAATACGTCCATTATTGTATAGCCATCGACCATTTGTTGACCATTACATTGTGACAAGCGAAAAAAAGAGAAATTAAGAAGCCAGGTCCCTTTCTGGTGGACGTTGAAGTTGAATGACCTAAGCACTCATTTTAGAGTTGTATTTCACATTTGGATGTTCATTATGTGCTCACCTAATTCCAATAGTTAGTTGTAGAGAATAAAGGACTACCTCATTTCAAAATGTCTCATTGCGGAGACATTATTACCGTGGACAATTTCCTGCCTGTCGAAATCCTCACGGCACCGGCACGGAAAATAAGTTTGTCGTGCGAGACAGGGTCTCTCTCAGCGGAGCAACAACACCGAGACTTCACACGGCTTACGCCCCCTTTGTTGACCTCAAAGGATTTCCGGGTCCCGCCTTGTGTCTCCACTGGACCAGAATGAAATCTTTGGTTAGTGATGGTGTCCCCTTTGCTGGAGCCAAGGACGTTTATCGTTAGATTTAGAAGTAATTATCATGTCAAACATTGTGTGTTTCATTATTGTGTTTATAAAATATTTTAGTTAGAGGGTAAAAGATACGTCATTTAATGTATTTTATTTGTATTTCCCGCCCCCCCCCCTTTTTTCCTCTATCCAAACCCCACCACATTGTTTTTAAACAAAGATTCAACCAATCAGTTTACTTTGGCCAGCTCTTCTGCACTAGTTTTGTGTGCATTTATTTTCTTGTTCACTCATGTTTCAGTGCAATACTATTTTGGTGCATCGATATATGTGCGCATCCGTTTTGAGGGGGGGGGGGATTGTGTGCATCAATTTTTGGGCGCACCAGTTACAGCCAGGGCTGTGGAGTAATACAGTCCTACAAAATTCCGTCAAGGACTATAGCAGCTGAGATGCTTCTCCATTGTTGATGACACTATGAAGAATGATGTATGTCATGTGTTGACATTGAGCATGACATTTGCACACAGTTAAGTCCGGATATAAATAAATTGAATTGTGACACTGACGTCACAGTCAAGGTTTTTTTTGGATCGCGCCCAGATCACGGGTGACGAAACCTGACCAAAGTAAAATTTGAAGATATCGGGTCATTTTTTGTTCTAACTGTGATTTTTACATGCCCAGCTGTCTCGATGTCATTTTAATTACTTACTGGAATGAAGGTTGAGTAGTAAATGGTAAATCAATGTACAAAAAAAATTAGATTAAAAGAGCAGTATATGGTGCTTTGTTAGTTGGCTTTGAAAGGAAAGATTGTCAGTAGATATAATGACACAATCTTTTGCCTAGTACAAAAACACCCAGCATTGGTGGATAGATGTACAGTGAAAAGTTATATAGAAGTAGGACATGTAAAGTGAAAAGTTATAAAGCGGACAGACATGTAAAGTGAAAAGTTATAAAGCGGACAGACAAGTAAAGTGAAAAGTTATAAAGAAGTTGGACGTGTAAAGTGAAAAGTTATAAAGAAGTTATACATGTAAAAGTAAAAAGTTGAAAAGAAGATGGTCACTTCCTTATATCTGTAACACACATTTTCTCTCACATGTTGGCTCTCTCAATGTTGATTGGTCAGGACAGCTAACCTCTAAAACACAGGCTCCAAACTTTTTTTTTCCAGTCATGGCCCTAATTTATAGAAGTCATGTGACCTGAAATCCTCATATGTTTAATACGGTAACCATATATGAAAACATTGTCCTGAATAATATGCACTTTGGCTTATGCCTTTTTGTATTTCAAGACATATAGCACAAATCTTAGAATTATATTATATTTTTTAAGCTTTGCTTACCATTTCTTGGATGATTTTATGGATATCTCTCAAGTCAGACAAACAATTTGACATACACTGGGGCTTTAGAAATGTCGATTTTTGAAGAACTAATTCACATGAATGTCCTTATGATCCATTTACATGTGTGACGTGACACTTACCCTGACCATTCTATACCTACTGTATAGATGATATGATATTTGTGTGTATGTTGAAATTTGGTATGTCCGTCAACGTATATCCGTCAACGTATTTGATTATGAACGTTTGCACTGTCAAAATGAATAATAAGTTAAGAATAGTAGAAGAAGAATGTGGGTGTTTACATCTAATATTTGGATGAAGTAGACATGTAAAAGAAAGGTGATGACTGAATGAATTAGAGCGATGAATGTAAGGTGTGTCTGTTAATAACTAAATGGTTTAGAGAGATGAAAGTTAGATGTGTCTGTTAATAACTAAATGGTTTAGAGAGATGAAAGTTAGGTGTGTCTGTTAATAACTAAATGGTTTAGAGAGATGAAAGTTAGGTTCATGTACATACTTTGTTTGGGACAGACAAGCAGCTTTTTACCGGTACTCTACAAGCCACATCTACTGTGTGGCGTCATTTCATTTCCGCTGATCGATCAAAGAGTTCATGTATCGTGATCCATTGCCTGGCGTGTGCCTCACATCGCCTGCCGCGTGCCTCACATTGCCTGCCGCGTGCCTCACATTGCCTGGCGTGTGCCTCACATTGCCTGCCGCGTGCCTCACATTGCCTGGCGTGTGCCTCACATTGCCTAGCGTGTGCCTCACATTGCCTAGCGTGTGCCTCACATTGCCTAGCGTGTGCCTCACATTGCCTGGCGTGTGCCTCACATTGCCTAGCGTGTGCCTCACATTGCCTAGCGTGTGCCTCACATTGCCTGGCGAGTGCCTCACATTGCCTAGTGAGTGCTTCACATTGTCTCACATTGCCTGGTGTGTGCCTCACATTGCCTGGCATGTTCCTCACATTGCCTAGCGTGTGCCTCACATTGCCTAGCGTGTGCCTCACATTGCCTGGTGTGTGCCTCACATTGCCTGGCGTGTGCCTCACATTGCCTAGCGTGTGCCTCACATTGCCTAGCGTGTGCCTCACATTGCGTAGCGTGTACTTCAAATTAAGTTCACAGTTAAAAGATATCTTCATAAAAAAATACAGTTCGAGTGGTCACTTTTTTCGGTTTGACATAAACACATATACATACATCAATGAATAGTGGTGGCATAAACTTTCAGTAAGTCCCATGAAGATGTTATTGTGGAATCAATTTATACACAACCCAACCAGCTATCTTTCTAGCCAAATATTTTATTTGTCCAATCTAAAGACTTGTCCAGTACCAGACCTGTTTACC